TTAGAAGAAAAGCTGGGCTGAGGGAAGAAGCCTGTGTTTGAATAGAAATAGCCTGGAAATTAGCACACGTAGTAAGAGGAGTTATGAAAGACAAGGGGAATGTAACTGGATTTATGTTTACAGCCGATATTTGAGCCTCTCTCTGGTATGAAAGACCCTCTTTATTAAAAACTGCCATTCACCTCTGATTTCACCAAAATGGTAGAGGGAGGTTTGGAGAGGGATTTACTATATTAAATGATGTCTTCAGAAAGAGAAACAAGTTTTGCTGGGTATTTTTACGAGAACTAGATCAGAGAGTCAAGGAAAAAGAATCCAGGCAGAACATACCAGTATAGGCAGGTCTCTAAGTAAACTGAAAGTACCTGACTGCAGGCTTGCAGTAAATCTGAAAATGGTGGAGAATTTTTTAAATTTATTTATTTATTTATTTTTAATGGATTAGAGCAGGGATCGGCAACCTTTGGCACACGGCCCACCAGAGTAAGCACCCTGGCGGGGCGGGCCAGTTTGTTTACCTGCTGCGTCTGCAGGTTCGGCCGATCGCGGCTCCCACTGGCCGCGGTTCGCCGCTCCAAGCCAATGGGGGCTGCGGGAAGTGGCGGCCAGCACATCCCTCGGCCTGTGCCGCTTACCGCCGCCCTCATTGGCCTGCTTACCCTGGCGGGCCGCGTGCCAAAGGTTGCCGATTCCTGGTCTAACCTGTTCTTAAAAACCTTCAAAATGGGGATTCTACAATCTCCCTTGCAAGCTTAACTATCCTTATCATTAGAAAGTTTTTTCCTAATATCTAACGTAAATCTCTTTTTCTGAAGATTAAGCCCATTACTTCTTGTCCTCTCTTCAGTGGACATGGAGAACAATTGATCATCATCCTCTTTATAACAGCCCTTAATGTATTTGAAGTCTTAGCAGGTCCCACAGTCTTCTTTTCTCAAGACTAAATATGTCCAGTTTTTTTAACCTTTCCTCACAGGTCAAGTTTTCTAAACCTTTTATTATTTTTGTTGCATTCTTCTGGACTCTTAAATTCATTCATGTCTTTCTTGAAGTGTGGTTTCCAGAACTGGACACAGTACTCCAGCAGAGGCCTCACCAGTATCAAGCAGGACAGGACAATTAGCTCACGTCTTACATACACCACTCTTGTTAATACACCCCAGAATGATATTAGCCTTTTTTGCAACTGCATCACATTGTTGACTCATATTCACTTTGTGTCTGCTATAAGCCCCAGATTCTTTTCTTCAGTACTGCTACCTAGCCAGTTTTTCCCCATTTTGTAGTTCTGCATTTGATTTTTTTCTACTTAAGTGTAATACTTTGCACTTATCTTTATTGAATTTCATCTTGTGGATTTCAGACCAATTCTGCAACTTGTCAAGGTCGTTTTGAATTCTAATCCTGTCCTCCAAAGTACTTCCAACCCCTCCCAGCTTGGTGTTATCACAAATTTTATAAGCATACTCTCCACTCATTATCTGACATTAATGACAATATTGAGTAGTAACAGACCCTGCAGAACTCCACTAAATATACCCTCTGATTTGACAGCAAACCATTGATTACTACTCCAAGTATAGTCTTTCAACTAGTTTTGAGCCCACCTTATAGTAATTTCACCTAGATCACATTTCCCTAGTTTGCTTGTGAGATTGTCATGTGGGACTGTGTCAAAAGCCTTATTAAAATCAAGATATGTAACATTTACAGCTTCCCCCCATCCACAAGACCAGTAACCCTGTCAAAGAAGGAAATTAGGTTGGTTTGGCATGATTTTTTCTGGACAAATTCATGTTGGCTATTACTTTAACCCAGGGGTTCTCAAACTGGGGGTTGGGACCCCTTAGAGGGTCATGAGGTTCTTACACAGGAGATCAGAAGCTGTCAGGCTCAACCCCAAACCCGATGTTGCCTCCAGCATTTATTATGGTGTTAAATATATAAAGGAGAGGGTCACACTCAGAGGCTTGCTATGTGAAAGGGGTCACCAATACAAAAGTTTGAGAACCTCTGCTATAACTTCTTATCCTCTAGGTGCTTACAAATTGATTGATTATTTGTTCCAGGTGTTGACATTAGGCTGACTGTTTTTTTCCCCCTGCCTTTTTAAAAACAGGTACTATGTTTGCCCTTCTCCAGTCCTCTTGGGACCTCACCCGTGCTCCATGTTTTCTTAAAGAGTATCACTAACAGTTCCAAGATTGTTTCAGCTAGTTCCTCAAGTACCTTAGGATTTATTTCATCAGGTCCTGCCGACATGAATACATCTGACTTGTCTAAATAGACTTTAACCCATTTTTTCCCTATTTTGGCTTGTGTTCCTTCCCCTTTGTTGTTAATATTAATTAAGTTAAGTATCTGGTCACAATTTACCATTTTAGTGAAAGAAACATTTTCATTACTAGTAATCATTGGAAATCAGAAAGTATAAGTTTTTTTATAAGGCAAATTCTATGGAATTTTTTTGAGGAGAGGAAGTTAGCAATTAAAAAAATAGGTTTTGCTTGTGTGGGGTTTTTTTTTAAACTTACTTATGACTACTTAAACATTGATTCCATGGATTTTTAATGGGAAAGCAGGTTCTTTCAGTCCTCCTAATTACTATTAATTTTGGTATACTCTCCTTGACAAACAAGAACAACCAAGATATAGAATTTTTAAAAGAAATGATAACACTAACAAACGTATGCTAAACTTTATTGCTCAGTTACCTTGATTTTGGATATTCCTGATTCCATATCCTTTGCTTGTATGTTGTCAGTATGCTATCTGTATTAATTTAATACTCTTTTGTACAACTAGCACTCTTTCTGCACTGTGCAAATAATGTTTTGCCTCAATTTAAATCACTAGTTCCAGTTTATCTTTAAAACGGCAACCTCCAAAACCAGAAGACAGCACCATTCACTGAAGGGAGAGGAGGAAGTGGTTTCCGGTATTTCTATAAACCTCTTGTGAAAATACTTTTAATACAACATTCTTGTTTAGTAAATATTTAGTTAACTACAGGATGAAGAAGTCATCAGGAGTCTTCCTGCTAGAATGGACTAGGGTTGTCTTTGGCTTTTAAAAAATGGAGTGCCTCTATAGTCTTCTACCAGCCAGCTGGGAACTCTTTCTTCTCTGACACCTTATTTTCCAGCCTCTGACCTTATCCACCCCAAGTACCACTGTGTTTCTCTTTGACTTTTGTATAGCATAGCAAGATTCTCCCCAGCAATCATCAACATTAAGGGAACCCACAAAGGAAAAAAAATGGGCTTTTGTCCTTGTCTGCATCTTTATGATTGATCAGTTAAGGCAGGGGTGGGCAAACTACGGCCCGCGGACCAGATCCGGCCCCTCGGGGCTTTGGATCCAGCCCGTGGCGCTGCCAACACCACATCCCTGCGGCCCCCGGGCGGGGGGGGGACACAGGGCTCCGTGCGTTGCTCTTGCCTCCAGGCACTGCCCCCCGCAGCTCCCATTGGCCGGGAACAGGGAACCGCGGCCAATGGGAGCTTTGGGGGAGGTACCTGGAGGAGCGGCAAGGGCAATGCACGCAGAGCCCTCCGCCCCCGCCCCCCCCCCCCAGGGGCCGCAGCGCTTCCTGGAGCAGCGCGGGCCACGTAGGGTGACCAGACAGCAAATGTGAAAAATCGGGTCAGGGGGTGGGGTGGTAATAGGAGCCTATATAAAAAAAAGACCCAAAAATCGGGACTGTCCATATAAAATTGGGACATCTGGTCACCCTAGGCTGGGGACGCCGCTGCCACCCTGGAGCCGCTATAGGTAAGTGGTGCCGGGCCGGAGCTCGAACCCCTCCTGCACCCCACCCCCCAACTCCCTGCCCTAAGCCCCCTGCCTGCACCTCGCATCCCAACTCCCTGCCCTGAGCCCCCTCATACATCCCACACCCCTCCTGCACCCAACCCCCTGCCCTGAGCTCCCTGCTGCACCCCTGTGCACCCCAACCCCTTGCCCCACCCTGCATCTCAACCCCTGCCCTGAGCCCCCTCCCGCAGTCCACACCCCTCCTGTACTCCGCACCCCAACACCCTTCCCTGAGCCCTCTCATACACCCTGCACCCCTCCTCTGCCCCAATCCCTTGCCCTGAGCCCCTTCCTGAACACCGCACCCCCTCCCACACCCCACGCTCCCTCCCGTACCCCAACCCTGCATACTATTTCCCCACCCAGATGTGGCCCTCAGCCCAAAAAGTTTGCGCACCCCTGAGTTAAGGTGAAAATTAACAAGAAATGTCTGCACTTCCAAGAAGACAAAACCAGAGAAGACCAGACTTGACATTCTTGATATTTGTGAGTGGGAAAATAAGAAGAAAATTATTTTAAAAACATACATCTTTCTGGATTTATTTATGTATCATAAAAGGAGGGCAAAAAAGGACACAAATCTAATTAAAAAACATTGTCTGCAGGTCACCTTCAACAAGCTGTTTGATGGAAGGAACAAAGAATAAGGTGCAGGAATGCTTGGAGAAGACAGCAAAATTAAATGCATAATAGTTTTAATTTTTGGCAAGCAGGGGACAAAAGTAAACGGTATAAATAGTGCTAGATAATCTCTGCCTTTTGTAACAATAAGACACCTGTTTCTTAAGAAATGTACATTTAGTTTAGATCATAGAAACTGGTACAATGTCTCCCCAAATGCTGCTGAAAAGACTTACGTTCCAGATACCAAAATACAAGGACAGAAGAAGAAGAAGAAAAGCCACGCAGTGTTTTGCTTTCTGAAGGGTGGGGAGAGCTGTGTCAAGTGTCTAGAAGTCAGAGCTATTTTTACCTGTCAGCTCTGAAAGTTCCTCCCCCCCGGAATAAGCTGTAGAAACAACTGGTTTGCTAGCCAAAGCAACACTGAACTGCATGCAGATGTGGTGCAGGAGACGCTAACTGGAGGCCAGCTGCCCTTGCCCGCTGCGCAGGAGGGAGGGGGAGGGGAAGGGGGAGCGTGCGGGAGGGCTGGGGAAGGCAGAGCGAGGGCGGGGGTGTCTCACTCTCTGAGTCGCTCATGCCGCTGCTGTCGCTGACGCTGGCGCTGCTCCGCCGTTTCATCCGCGCCAGGTGCTCCTCGTACTGGAAGTGGCGCTTGCTGACGGGCGAGGAGAAGTCTTCTATCACGGCATCGAACTCGCCCAGCACCTCCGCCAGCTCCCCGGCATCCGCCCGCAGGGCGGCAGGGCCCGGGGCCGGCCGGGACGGGAGAGGACGAGGGAGACAGTCACCGGAGCCTAACGAGAAACACGGACACCCTTAAAATACCCCCCGACCCTCGGAGAGCAGGGCTGGAGCACAAGAGTGAGACCGAGCCACCACCTCAGCGCCACCCCCACGTCCCTCCAGAGAGGGACCGGCCCCCCCCCCCCAGCGACCCCCCCCCCGTCCCTCCAGAGAGGGACCGGCCACCCCCCCCAGCGACACCCCCACGTCCCTCCAGAGAGAGATCGGCCACCCCCCCCAGCGACACCCCCA